AATCGTATCGCCTTTCTATCTTCTTTTCTTTGGATTACTATTTAATATTTTATTAATCATCATAATATCGGTAGGCCGATATTTGTAAGATTTTATCGACCAGTTTTATATCTTATAGCCGATTTTTGGTTGGTTGTTTTTTTATATATCGCCTTTATATCGTCCTATCATATAAAAAAATTTCGACCAGTGATAGAGATGTGTGAATACAAGTTTTTTTGGCTTTGCATCATATAATGCAGTATTATATTATATGCATTATGCAGTTCTGTATAATATACTTTGGCCTCTTAAAAATTATATATAGTAAACAGACTTCATATTATTACTAAGAGGTTATTAGATTTGAAAATATAAAATATTAGATTTATATAGTGGAGACAGATTTGGAACTTTGTCTGCATAATGCATATGGTACATCTTTAGCATTTAGCAAAAAATTGAGTAAAGTAACTAATTCTAAATCTTCCTGGATATAATATAAAATCTCAATTACTAGTAATTGTTGCAGATTAAAATGAAATCTGATTAAAATAAAACGGGGGACCTCTCTTGCTCCCCTTTAAAGCTTATAAAACCCGCTTATACTCTTTTTTTAATAAATCTAACACTAAACCCTAACCCTAACCCTAACCATAACCCTAAAAAATGTCACCAAATTTTTTAAATCATCCCTAAAAAATATTAAAATTTCATTTTAATCAGATTTCATTTTAATCTTCACAGTAATTACCTCAACAGATGAATTTATTAATGCATGAAGTTATTTTTAAACTTTATAAAATAGCAGCACAACCACTTCTATTTCTTTATCTTTTGCACCTTCTATTTCTTCTACTCAATTAATTCTTTTGCTCCATCTGTTTCTACTACCTTTAATACTTCTAATTCTTTTACATCACCAGCAAATATACTATCAAGTAATTTACAAAATGAACTAGAAAATTATTTACTCTTGCTATTAGAGAATAATTCAAATCCATTATTATGGTGGCAAATGCAAAAAGGCTATTCTACTTTAAGTCTGATCGCAAGGGACAATTTGTCCATACAAGCCACAAGTGTGGCTACAGAGCAAGCTTTCTCTGTAGCTGGTGTCACGGGTTAATCAATGACTTTTGTCAAAGATAAACCTAACCCCGGATGGGAGCACTCAATTGCTTTGCTTATTCTGATTTCAATGTTTATATTAAAGCAAGTGTTTTACTTATTATTCAAATGAAGTTTATTAATTAATAGAGCGAAACTAATACTAATATAAACTCAAACTCTTCTATTATTACTATCGCTTCGATCCTTATATACATATTTGACTCTAATTATTACATTATATATTGATTATACAACCATTGTCTCTTTAATTGATTACATACTTTATTCAACTGTTCATGCATAACTTACTAATAAACTATTTTGTACCACTTATTAATACGTAATTGATTCATTCATGATATATTAATTATCTTACTTCAGTATCCCAACCATATTACCGACCGTCCATAATCCTGATCATGAGTCACGTATACAAGACACCGATCGACTAATCGCTTTTACCTTTATCTTTACACATGTTCACCGCATACTGCATGTCACCATGACACCGGTCTTACAATTTCAACCAAAGAAGCAGATTAGATTATGAATCAGCAAGGGTGATTTTGTGCCTAAAAAGTTGAATTCAAAAATAAATTTGCTCTATTTAATTATTTATTGCATTAAATTAGCATTATTAAATATTAAATTAGCTTGTATAGAAAAAAAAACACATTTTACGATGAACATTTTATTAGATTAGCTTTGCATGAAATCATATTAGACTAACTTCGCATAAAATTTTGTTAAATTATCTACGTATAAAAAAAATACATTTTATAATGAATATTTAGCATATATATCGTATTAATAAAATATATGTATATTGTTACGGTTTAAAATTTTAAACCCGTGACTTCCATGTAATTTGGTAGTAATAAACGCCTAAATGACCCGAGCTACAAAAATATTATGAGCCTCCTAGGCTGCTGACGGAGGCTTAGTGATATAGACCAATTCTAGTAATTGTTAGTTGAATTGTAAGCGAAATTGTAGACAAAATTGTAAGCAGAATTGTAAGCAGAATTGTGAGAAGAATTGTAAATAATAGAGATAGTGCAGTAGTCCTTAGTAAAGTAAAAGGTATTTAAGGCCTTGGTTTCCGCCTTAGTTAAGTTTTCCTCAGACAATGTCTCAAAAGACTATAATCCGGAGAACCCTTTGATGTTTTAGTTATAGTTTATATTTGGATTCCCCCCTCTTATGTTGTATTAGAGTTTATGTATTTAGTTTAGTTTTATTCTTTTATTATTATATTATTCTTTATTATTGTTATTATCTTGCATTTCTTATTTTATTGTTACATAATAAATTACCCCGATAATTGAAGATTGATCTGTTTAAGTGATAACCCCGACTCAGTTTAAGAGTTTCGTGATCTTATTCCACATGTATAAGTGTTATAAATCCCTAACCTAGTTATCTATCGGAGCTAAATTGGACTAACATCCGCAATTGCTCTCCCAACCAATAGTAACATATGGTGCCAGTTAGAGTTGCCTGCCGTAATTAATTACAACCTTTACGACATATAGGTTGCAATATTACAACATATAAGTTGCAATATTACAACTTGTTAAAAACAATTACGGCAGGCAACTCTAGTGCCAGTTGTGTGGAGTGAATTAATTAAAAACAGTAGATTAGATTACCTTAATGAATAAAAACAGTATGTCTTATAGTCAAAATCCGGATCCCTATTTCGGATTGGCAACCCAAATTGCATCACTTATCCAACAGCTACGAGTATCTCAGACATTGCTGGTCAATGTTTATTCCGAATTAAACACAGTCCCATATCCTGAATTTGTAGGAAGAGACCAGGACCCAATCTTATGGTTAGATGAGATTGAGAATGCCTTCGAAGCCAATCTTGTTCCAGAAGCCCGAAAAGTCCCTATTATTGTAGCAAAATTGAAGGGATCAGCTGCAACATGGTGGAGGATTCGTCAAAACCAAAGCCTAGTGATTGACCGATGGGATGATAAAGTTTGACCTCAACAAAGTTTTTGAGTAAACTTTGTCACAAGATTCATATCTCCAGAACTCAAAGCTAACTGGTTTTGTGAGATAACCCAGCAGAAACAAGAAATTGGAGAAAGAGTTGATGACTATTATAGCCACATGGCAGGCTTGATTTGACGATTGGAATTTGGAAACTATCTATTTTTTGAGGCAGTAAAAGTTCAACTATTTGTCCAGGACTTTGTCCAAAATTGTTTAGGGTGGTATCTCCCCTAATTTCAAGAACTTTAGAAGATGCTTATGATAAGGCAAAAGCATATGAGAATGCTTATGAACGATATTCCTCACCCAGTGTTCTTCAACCCTCATCTATAAACTATAGTCCCCCATACTCTTCTTATTGTATAACTCCGACAAACCCTCTAATTAAAGAAAATAACCATCAAACTGTTGAAGCTTTAGATAAGCTAACTTATTTTATCAACATGATGATAAACCAAGCACAAAACCAAGAAGAATTGTCTCAACCCCAACCAGCTACATCTAATTTGAAAGATAACAATTTTCTATATAAAACTTATTGTTTTATACAAAACTACCCAAGCCTACCTAATTTCAAAAGTATCCAATCTTCTAGATAGGTAAATTCAGTAGCTCATGAAATCTGCAGACCCAACTTCCAAGAAACTCATCGAATCTTGTTAACTTCAGTTGATAACTCAAAAAGGCCAATCAAATTAGAAGGTCAACACTTATTTTCCAGTAACCTGAAATCATCAAACATCCATGCTGAGCCACAGATGTTTCAGAAGTCAGGTGATACAAAGTTCGAAGTTAAGCCAAGAGGGAAAAAGAGCTTAAACTCTGGAAGCACAACAAGAGAACACAGGTTTAAAAATAATGTGGGCTCTAGTTTGAAGAAGCTGAGGAAGCCGAAGGATGAAGTTAGCCTCAGGCAACAAAAGAAGGCTGAAAAAGGAATATCACTAATTGCACCTAATATAGCACCCTATTCTATCATGGCTGATATAGAAAACCAGAAGCAGATATAACCTTTGAGCAATTGTTAAAGGTTGAATCAGCTTTGGAGTCAAAAGAAAATCAAATCAGAGATTTAGAAAAGACCGATGTGTTTGGGAAAAGGGATAAAGAAAAGTGTGATTTAATGAATAAAAGTAGTCATATAAACGAATATATGTTTGCAGAATATAATTATAAGGATATAGGTAATAAAAATAAATCTATAGTAGGTAATGAGGTAAAAAAGGGAAACCTATATAATAAAGACATAGAATTTTCTGAGCCCTTCAAGAAATGTAATCTTTACAAAGTAGAGAGTTTAGAAACGGACAAGAAAAGGGCAGAAGATATAGGTAATAGTGATGTAAAGAAGATTGAAGATATGGGTAACAAGAAATAGAAAGAAAGAGTTTCATCTATTCAAGGGATCAAGTTATCTCCCCGGCAAAATCAAGACCAAGAGTATAGGGAAAACTCTTTACCCGAATTGGCTATCTCCAGGTTGAAAGATAAAGAACCCAACGATCTCAGAGATGCCAGAATTTGGTTGCTGGAACCTTTTAGAAACCTTATCCTAAGAATAAGAGCAAAGATGCACAAGGTCTGGCTCCACTCTCCTACCTACGTTGCAAGAATTGAAGATCCATATTTACACCAATAGAAGACCCGAAATAAGGAATTTTCCAAACTTGCTATTGTTATAGCGAAGGAATTGGTGCTCTGGCGCTGGTTTTCTCCATGGACTGCTATTGGAGGAGACTTTGGAAAATTTTAGTGTTCGCAGGAGCTCACACTTAAGGAAGGGAGTATGTCACGGTTTAAAATTTTAAACCCGTGACTTCTATGTAATTTGGTGGGACATCTTGTTTCACAGACAATTAATTCATAGACAAGTTTATTTTAAAGACAATTAATTTACAGACAGTTCATTTCATAGACAGTTTATTTCATAGACATTTTATTTTGTAGACAATTTTTAACACTGATTTAGAAGTTATTTGCTGTTAAAATTGTCTACAAAATGAAATGTCTATGAAATGAACTGTCTATAAAATGAACTGTCTGTAAATTAATTGTCTTTAAAATAAACTTGTCTATGAAGTGATTGTCTGTGAAACAAGATGTCTGTGAAATAAACTTCTACGAAGTAATACGGACCCGAAATTTTGTTATATGTCACTAAAGATAATTATAATAAAAAGATTCACAAATGAACTTTAAGTTGGTGTTTTACTATACAGTATGTCCGAGGACTTAATGGTATAGTCATAGACCAGATTGTGTGTGTATGATTGGCTAATAGTAAATATAGCGATGATCATCTGATCTAAAAATAGGTACGGACATAAACACAAAATCTGGTCTATGACTACACCATTAAGTTCTCGCTAAGCTTCGGACAATTAGCCAATTGTTTTTTTTTTTAAATTCACAATAAAAATGAAATTTTCGGTTTCGGGAATCTAATAGCGCCTGTTTTCTAGGTACTTAAGATTTGATTTACACAAAATTTTGTTTATGTAAAATATGGGATGTTTCTATTGAAAACACCCCACATACATGTTGAATAAAAATAAAAAGTTTCCACCGCGAAATTCCGAAAGACAGATTCCCTCCAGTATTAGTTATAATGCTGGCCGTTTTAATCGGTATTATTTTCTTCCAGGAAAGTGGCTTTCGGGGTTTCGTGGTAAAACCAAATAAGAAAGAAGATGCCTGCAAAAAGTCTAAAACCAATATTACATAATAATTATAAAAAAATAAAGTATTTTATAATCGCCATAGCGATATATCGCCAGTCTAATAGTTCTATATGCGGTGTTTTAAACTTTGCTTACAAATCATGATTCATAAGCACAGTTTGAAACTCAGCATATATGAGGACATATCGCTATGACGATAAATTATAAAACGCAAAAATGTAAATTGTAAAAACTAATTATACGTATTAAAAAAAATTTTCTATAATTGATTATTTAAGCTAATATTATTACAAAAGATATTGTTAGAACTAAAGTTATTGGTTAAATTATTTATTATGTTTTTAAAATTTTAGCTACAATTATAAAACTTTAAAAAAAAAAATTTATTAAATTTGATAAAATAATTGTTAAGATATTTAAGCTTAAAGTCAAGAAAACTTTTACTTAGAAAAAATTTGTCCCTTTTTATTGACTCACCCCTATATAAAAACTATTTTAAATTAATTTAAACTAAATTTTTTTTTAGCTTTTTTTTAAACTAATAATAGCCTATACTTAAATTAATTTTAAATAAAAGAATTAAAAATATAATATTAATCAAATTATTAATTTTTATAAAAAAATAATTAATTTAGCTATAATACAGTCGCACTCCTTTATAGTTACCTCCTACATAATTACAACTTCTATATAATCACAAAAAACTCTGAAACAATTTATTAATAACTTTATTAAAAAACACTCTATATAAGCACATTATAAGTTAGCTATAATACATATTTGTGTAAAACAAACTGGGTAATTATAGAGAAAAGAAATAGCTAATCTGTTTTTATATATACACATTAATAATAATAATAATAATAAACAAATTTAAAGTTAATTAAAGTTAGGATTAGAGTTTAAATTAGGTTAAAATAGCAGAGTTTTATATATCGTAATTTTATAATTATATATTTATATTTGCCTACCTATACTAAAGAGAATCAATCTATTACAGTATAATATATATTTATTATTTATAAAAAACTATATATATACTATAAATATTTTAATAATATACTTAACTTAAACTTAATAAAATTTTATTATATAAAATTGGTTCGAAAATAGTAAACTTTTAATTTATAAATTTCGTAATAAGTACTATTTCGTAAATTGTAAAAACCATATAATAGCAATAAATATTATAATAAAATTATAGTAAAATATACTATATAATGTACAGTATTTAAGTAAAAATTTTTAAGATTTACAAAAGTTGATCCGGCTGAAGGTTATGAGAACCAAAAAATTTATCCTTGTTTAGCCTAAAATCAAATTTATATAAAAGTTTTTGATATCCCAAAACTAACTTTAAAAAAAAAATTTTTATACAGTATATAAGTTGATACGTATTTTCACGGATAAAAAAAAAATAGGTATAATCATTTTTTTATTTATATAAAACTTTAAATAAAGTTAGCATGATAACCATCAAATTATGTCTTTCTAGAATAAAAAAGATTTTTATCATAATTTAAAAAATATATATATGCACTAATTAAAAATAACGGGAATGAACTTTTATATATCTGATATACTGTATAACGATAAATTAAACAATATTTTCTGTACGTAACGGTAATGTTTAACCCTCAAAGTCCTGACACAAAATCTTTATTTTAAATGCTTGTAATGATTTTCCTTTTTGGAGGTTTGTATCACTCGTATCATAAGTATATCTTTAGCAAATACAGAAATAATGATTAATATCATGATTGGTGGTTGCGGTTAATACGCATATGATAGACTGTTCCTTTTTTCTTTAAATTATACTAGCTTCGAGATAGACCATGTTTGAACTATAAAAAGAAAGGGTATACGCAAGAATTACTTCACGTGAAAAACGTAATATTTACCTAATTAATTGACCTTTATTCTTTCGAAAAAGCCAAGAAGGCATTAATGACAAATCAATATATATATATTTATATATTATATATATATATCAAAGTTAAGGTTCGCGCATTCATTGAAGTACGTAGAAAAAAAAATAAGCTTTTGTTAATAAAAATAGGTTTTTAGAACTTAATGATTACGTGAATCATCGAAGATCACCAGGTACTGTACGTACGTACGGGTATGTAGACACAAAAATTTACTTTAGAAGCAAGTGCTAAATTAGATCTAGATTATCGCAATTACTTGAACAATATAAAATAAATTATTTTATTATACATAATAATTATAATAACGATGAATTTTTCTAAATTAATATTGACGTGCACGGCAGAAAATTTAATCATTATAAATATGGGACCCATTGATGTTAACCGACTCAGTTAGCTTCATAAATGGTAATTTGGCACGTAGTAAAAATGCAAGAACTTTCAGTTTCATACTTTAATTCGCCTTTTTTGAGAGTTATTGGGATCAAGAGGCCTGGAGTTTTAAAAAGTTACACTTTGGTTTTTTTTTTTTTTGGCGTTTGCATTCACTATTATTTTTTTAAACCTTATCACAATGAACAATAGGGATTCAACAATCAAGCTTTTGATCTCTTGTTGAAATAGACTTAGATGGATACATTAGTTTTTACATTTCATAATTATCAATAAAACTAGACGCCAATTGACGACACATTTTTGTATATTAAAATATACACGAATGTGGTGGTCAAGATATTTTAGTAACAGGCATCATGAAAGTTTATCTGTTATTACATACGAACATACGTACGTACGTATTACGTCGTTCATACGTGTATGCATACACGTATGTGCGTGCGTTTTTCTTTTGCCGCGTTCAAATTTTCATTTGACAATTTTTTAGAAAAATATATACAACGTTAGTGTCTAATTATTATTGGTCTTTTAAAAATTTCGTGAACATCATTATATTTGGTGATCAGGTTACATTAGCTGCAAATTAACAGTTCACTACATTTCTATTAAAGGTTATGATTAATTTTTATGTGATTGTACGTATTATTTGTGCTCTGTAATTGAGTTAATAGTAATTTTAAAGTCTATATCGTCTGAGTGCATACATTTTGCATCATCATTCGATTTACCTTTTTTAAAATGTATATATGCAGAATTAATAATTTTGTTTTCTGACGAATATTTTTTTGGAATATATATATATTTTTTAAGGAATATTGTGTTATGTGTTAATTTGAGATTAATAAAAAAAACATATGTTCATTTGACATTTTTTCTTAACTAATTTTAGATTATTATACTAGAACATTCACGAACTATGTTTGTGTTAACAATGCGAAAAATAAATATTTGCGTTTTCTGATTTACAAATAAATGTGTCGTGACTCTGTAATTTCATTCACGAGATATCTGTTTTTACGTAGCATACATGACCAATTTATTAATATTTAGCATAGAGTTATGTCAAATGTTTTGTTAATTGATTAGTTGGCATTTTGACTAAAAAAAACAAATGAGCAGTGAAACATTTATACTGAAACCAATTAACAAATACATATACATAGCAATATCGATGTTTTTTACGAACTGCTTAAGGCTTTCACGTGACTATATAATCAGATTAATTGAACTTAATCTGAAACATTATTATGAAACAAACGGATAAAAGCGAAGCAAAAAAATAAAAATAAAAATAACGTTAATTGGACAAAACTAATATAGTTAATTCATTCAAGTACAGAAGTAGATGGTTAAATTATCAGATAATTCATGGCTAAAATTATGATTTGAATCAAGTTTTTTAATAGGTTAATATATAAACTATGAACCTCTAAGCTTAAAGACACCAAATTTATTAACATAACTGTAACAGGTATTATTTATCGTGGTAATTGATAGAAAGAAGTACATTTATAGACAAGTCATCAGGTTACAGTGCAATAAAATAATATGTAATACATAACATTATTGTCATCAAGGCTTGGATGAATGCTAACAACTTTTGAACAAGTTTAACCAATGAAATTATCGGATAAATTAAACTTGTTTCTGTTGAAAAGCCCAAAAAAAAAAACTAAGCCTTAATGTTATATCAAGTTGAAAAGATTATAGACACTTTTAAGGTTACCTAATTGAGCATATACAGTATATGGAATTTCGAATTCAATATTTATTATTTTCCTAAAATACCGATACAGTATTAGTTTAGAGTGTTCATAAATTATTTTGAATTGAATTAATATACTTTATATGGATATAAGTTCGACTACTTTCAATTCTTTAGTGTGAATATTGTTCATTTTGTGTAAAAAAAAAAAGTGTATGATAATATACACCGGGATAGTAACTTGTTAAATGACAAGCCACAGGGCTTTGTGGGTTTTTATGATAAGTCATATGTTATACATTTACCATTCTTAATTCACAACAATATTTGCCATTTTCTTCGGTTTTGCAATATGCATACGGGCATAGATATATGCTTCAAAGCATATAAAGAACTATTGGTTGGTTTTGTAATATCAGCTACGGAAATTTATTTATACGTACAGTACCAGGAGTTACATATATATTGTATACTGTAAAAAAATAGTATTATGTTTTTTAAAAAAATCAAGATACACGAATATCATGAGTGACGTTGTAATACATCGGAGTTCGATTAATAAGTACAAAATATAAATTATAAATGTTCGCATATCACAAAAGTGTTAATGCTCAACTTTTAGTGTACGTTTAATCAATTTTTTTTTTTTTTAAAAAAAAAAAAGAAAAGTTATTAACATACCTCCCTTTTTTTCTTTCACCTGTTCTTTTACCACCATATAAACTGTAGCCTTAATTTTAGAGAGAAAAAAATTTTATTACATTAAATATCCTATTTATAATATTTAGAAATGGCATTGGATCCGAAGGATTTGGCTGGTAAATATCAAATAATAAATTTGGCTAGTTAATTCATATTATTTCGTCCGTTAAGTTTTCGAATTTTAACAATATTTATATTTTTTTATTAGAACTGACGCCAATGTTTATATCCACTGTTTACAAGCATTTTAGAAATGAAATCCCCGACTCGTAAGTATTATTTAATGTAATTATCAACGGTTTCTATGTGCCTTTTCTTTTTTTAACCTTTAAAAGTTTATATCAATATAGAAATTGGGATTTAAGACTTCACTTAGCAGTAGCTATGCTCCGAAGTGTTCTTCAGCGATCAAAGAATAAAACAATAGAAAAGCATCAAAAATTTTTAGCCAAAGCTCACCTACCTTCGAGCCATTCAACTTTAGTAAAAAAGGCTATAGTACCAGAAACCTGTCGTTCTCAAGCTGAAGATATTATGGCAGGCTTATTAAGTGGACAAGAGGAAAAGGTTGGATGGAGATGGAAAGATGATCCAATGAAACAAACTCCGCTCAGAGGCGAGTGGGTTGAGTCAAAGACAAGAAAAAAGTCAACTGATGTCGATCGTGTGATTCTATACGTTCATGGAGGCGCTTATATTTTAGGAAGTGCTGCTCAACATCGTTTTTTAATACAAAAAATTGCTAAAGAAGGTGCCGCTCGTGCCTTTGGGTATTTATTAAATTTAAATAAAAAATATAAAAGTTTTATAATTATAAAAAGTGATATATAAAAAAAATATAATTATTGCTTAGTTTCGACTACCGATTGGCACCACAGTCTCCATTCCCAGCAGCACTTATTGATACATTGGCTGCCTACTTGTATTTAATACAACCGCCATCAGACGCTGGATTTGAACCAATAAATCCTAAAAATATAATAATCATGGGTGATTCTGCTGGTGGAGGTATTTATTTATTTGGTTACAATATAATAATTTTGAATTATTTTTATGACAATATAATAATTTATTTAATTACGTAAACTAGGTCTTGCCCTGTCTACGATGTTGGTCCTTCGAGATGCTGGTCTTCCACAACCAGTTGGAGCAGCTTGTTGGTCTCCATGGTAATTTTTATTTTTATATATATTTATATATATTTATATATATTATAATATGACATAAAACTTAATAAAATATATATTTAATAATTTTTTTATTACATATAGGGTTGACCTTTTTCATTCACTACCATCAATATTTTCCAATGCAGCGACAGACTATTTACCAAGTGGTTTAATATATAAAGCGTCTCCCGCAAATCCAATAAAAGATAATACGGACATTAAACAGAGATTATCAAGAATACAATATTACGCTTATAATTCTGCCTTAGATATTCCTTATGTCAGTCCGATCCTGGCTGATGATTTAGGTGGTTTAGGAGAAATATTTATTGTACGTGTATACAAATTTGGATCTCATAAATATAAATATATATACATTCTACGTAAACTGATATTTATTTTACTAATAGACATGTGGAAATAATGAAAGATTACGCGATGAATCAATATTATTTGCCAATAAGGCAGCAAAGACAAACCCAGAGCTTTTTAACACACCTAGAAAAGAAGGTCAACGTTCATATCCTCCTACCAAAGTTAACCTAAACATATTTGAGTACGTAGCAAATTCGATTCACGTGACATTTATTTATATATTTGTTTATTTATTTATTTATTGTTTATATTGATTTATTATTACTCATTTATCATTTCGCATATGATATTTAGGGCAATGCCACATGTTTTTCAACTTTTCTTATTTCACCCAACAGCAATTAATGCCATCAAACGAACTGGTAAGTGGATACGTAAAGTAATACCAGAACCGGATAACGGCGACAATAAAAGCGAGTCATCAAGTGATACTCTTCATAATTTGTATATATATCATGATGCTAAACCAATAGTACGTGAAGAACTTTCGCTTTCAGATATTTCAGATGAAAGTGAAGATGATGAGCTCGCAATATTTACATCAAAGTATATTGACATTAAAGGAAATTGTCGAACGACTAATATGTTAGACGAAGAAACACTTAAAGAATGGATTAATATGCTGGGAAAATTGCCTGATCTTTCTAAACATCCTGAATTACTCAGCATTTAAAAAAAAAAAAAAAAATTATTTTAATGAACAATATTAGATGATTTTAAAGAATGACTTTGTTGACATTCACTTAATTTAGAGGCTTTATGCCAATTAATTAATCACTCCATATCGGACAAAAAAAAAAAGAAAAAGAAAAACGAAACTAATCCCCCCTCCCCCCTTTTTTTAAATATTCCTTGTACTGTACAGTTTTTTTTTTTTTTTTTATTATTTATCTCAAACACCTGCATGAGGTTGATATAATAGTTCCCTTATTTTTTTTTATTAATGACCATTAGCTTTTAATTTTAGGTCATAATTATACAATAATATAATATAATTTGGTTATAAAGGAGAAGAAATTAATAGAGCGGGTATGATAATTTTTAATAATAATAAAATATGTACGGTATATAATAAACAGAAAAAAAAAAAAAAATCAAAAAAAAAAATCAAAAAAAAAATTTAAATAATAAATAAAATTTTATTTAATATTCCCGAACTTGGCTGCTTCTTGACACGAAGTATTCATATTTAGAAATATTAAAAGTCACGAAACTATCTGAATAGAATATATTTTAATACAATAATAGTTTGGGATTTGTAAAAACAAAAGTCTCAAGTTTCTTTTCTATCGATTAACTCATTCAATAATATACACAACTTTAATCAAGTTTATGGAGATAGCATCAAGTTCCATGGAACTAGATCAAGTTGCTAACTATATTTGTGTATAATGGTATCGATATTTAATTTTTTAACAATTAACGTTAATGGGCTAACGTGATCGTCGAAGCATTTGTGATCATGAATTTGATCTTATGACGACAATAAGGCGTATTTCTCGTATCACATTTAAATATTATAATTGATCGAGAAAGGTTATTGCTGTGTTCGGGAACAAAATAAAGATTAGAACATATCGATATTAAACATATTGGCATAATAATAAACAGTAATACACGTTAAAAACTCTAGATTTTTAGATTCAATTAATTTAATTTAAAAATATCATTTGTATGAACTTTTAGCCAGGTCTTCATGACCAAAATTAAACATAAAGGAATAATAATAATAATAATAATAATTGTAAATTAGAGTTAGTAATAATCATTACAAGAGTAACTGTAAACATTGAATTTATCATTTAAAGTTCGTTTAACATGATCGAGGTGTTAGGTACAGTACATACCTACGTTAGTTAAATTAGTTAAATGTTGTGTCTGATGATCTACCATCACTCTACACTTATTTTAACCTCTAATATGGTAATTTCATTCTCGTAAGCCAATAAATAAAAGATCTTCAAATATTTCTTTCTTCGTGTGTACATATCTTATAAGCAAGTAATTTGAACACTTGCTATTATTATTTTCTACCACTTAAAAATGATACGTGAAAAGTCTTAAGAGATGTAATGCGCGTAATTCACAAAGTTGTTACATGCGTTGTTATTAGGTTCTTTCTGATATAAGTCAATTCTCAGTTCTCTATATTAAGAAGGTAGTACTTACTTCACATGTACGTACGTACTTTTCGAATTTAGAAATCAATATCCCTTACGTACTGTATGCACATATCAGATATATGCATTAATTACTAAATAAGAAACTATATACTAGCTGAATAAAATCATTTTGAAGGTTTTAGCATCAGTATCAAGTATATTAAAGGATTCATAGTAAATTACGTAGTACCTACGCACGTACGTACGTATGTATGTACATTATCAGTCATTCAATAGCAGATAGTACAAGAAAGATATAGAATAATTCTAGTTATCTGTTATATGATAAAAGTTACGTACACACGTACGTACGTACAGCATGTATGTACGTACGTACGTACGTACTTACATAGGTGTGTACGTGTTCGTACTAGATTTATCGTTATTGATTTCTTTCAATACAGCAATAATGACACATAAAGTCTGATTGAGAAAAAAGAATTTTCTACGTATATTATTTAACATGCCAAGGAGATCGAAACTAATACCCTTTTAGAATAGTTAATATATAGTAAAATAAACTGGTGTATTAGTTACAAATTTAGTAAGATATAGTTACCTATTCATAATGTTTTATACTATTTAAGTAATTCAAGGAGATTATGTACAAAAAAAAAGTCCGTTACTCATAATTCATGTGAGTTCTGCCAAGCGAAATAATATAAATCTTAATTTTTAGTAAATTTTCAATTTACGAAATATGGATTAGTCTTTGGTCTCATAAAAATTAATGTTACAGATTTGTATGTGAATAAGGATTGAAACCGTTTTTTTTAACCACATAAAAATTGTTCTGAATTATTAGAAAAAAATTTTTAGGTAGTTCTAATCCTAAATGTGAAATAATAAACACGAATCCTAATATATGATAATTGTAGATCATGAGATCCTATCTTTTAGGAACTGAAGTATCCGAAAATTGTGATTTACAAAGTCTCTCTTTGTAGAATTTATAACTTTGTACACATTATGACAATATATAAACGTTTAATATTTGTGCTAGTGATTTTATTATGTAAAATTCATTAAAATAAGTTAATATTATTACATAATAAGCATTTTTCCATTATGTGTTAAATTGGTTAAATTAATACTCCGAAGATAGATTAGTTTAAGTTAAAATCAGGAGACTAATATACTTTATAACCCTACGTACAACATGTACAGTACGTTAATATGAATACATATTTGATTAGTTTATATTTACATATACTGTGTTATTAATATGTGTTAACAATATACTGGGTTGGTTAAAAGTCCCTAAACAGGTTCTTTTTTGCTACCTTCGCTAATATTAAACGTTGCTATAAATTTATATACCCAAGTAAATGAAAAGTTCTCAGATAGGATCTCTTTGCTAATCACTAAATGACGTATTGCAAATACAATGTAGATTTATAAAACTTTTATTATTAGTAGAGATAGCAAAAAAGTCATGTTTAAGGACTTTCACCAACCCAATATATGTGGACATAAACATGTATTGGACAATAGTCTATGTATATAAACAAACGCCTAATTACAACCAACTCTAACTCTAAATCGAACTATTACCAACTTTAGATTAGCCAATTTTAATTGCTAAAAAAAAAAAGTTGATATAGTTTGGCTTAAAGAGAAAAAGTAGTATTAATTATATACTATAGTTGTATAGATTAGAAAGTTTAAAAGTAGATAAATCTAATAAAAAGAAATTAAAGTGGTTAGTTGATAGTAAAATGTAATAATATTAGTAAGATTAGTAAAGCTAAAGCATTTAAACTAATATAATTAATAATTATTATATATAATATAGTAAATATTAAAATATAAATACTATATTTAGTCAAACTTCTTAATAAACATTTTCTATATAAATATATTTTTTTATAAGCATATTTTTTTAAAAAAATAGATCACTATTAAATATAATAATTTTGATTTTTATAAATGTTATATTTTTTTACAATTATATTTTTTTGTATTTCAAATATGTAATTATAAAAAAATTTGATAATAACACTGTATAAATATAAAAAAATAAATAAAGTTTATAATATGTATTTAATTTTAAAAGGTTTTTTTGTAACAAAGTTTAAAGCTAGTTTGGATATTTATAAAATAGGTAGGCAATATAAAAATAAGCTTTGCTATGCCAATAATTAGTATATTATTAAATTTTTAATATACTGTATTTATATAATATTTAGTAGAGTTTAGTAAGTTTGCCCACCTACTACTATAGTATTATATAATTATATATATATATATATATTTTTTAAATTTGGCAATCTTGCCAACACTTTATTAGTATAATATACAAGCTTATAGAGGGTATAATATATTAACCAAAGTTTACTTAATTTCTTTAAGTATTAACTAACTCAACTCTTTGCAATACCAAAGATGTCCAAATTGCTCATGTTTGATCTACTATAGTAAAGTTTATTTCTATATTATTCCACTCTGCAAATAGATGTTTTGATTAGGGTTCCGCAATTTGATTTGATTTGATTTGATTTGATCAAATATTTGATCTCAAATCAAATTCAAATACAGAAATTTCAAATCAAATCAAATTTAAATTGACAAAATATTTGATTCGATTCAAATAAATTTGATTTGATTTGAATTTGATTTGATTAAATCAAATTCAAATACTTAAATTTCAAATCAAATCAAATTCAAATTGACAAAATATTTGATTCGATTCAACTTTGAGGAACCCTAGTTTTGATACTTCCTTGAATGAATTTATAGCCTATCAAGATTACCTCCTTTTCTAACCTTCTTCTTCTAGCTTCCTAAGCAAAAGGATTTATAGTCTTTAACTAATTTATAAAAAAAAATACTAAGACTAAAACAATAAAGAGAAAAACAAAAGAGGAAAAGTAAAAAGTACTGAAGCAAAAGAAAATAACAAATAAAAAAAGAAAAAAAAAGCAAAACAGAAAGAAATCTATGACAACACTATTATAGTCTGTGCTAGACAAAAGTTGTAAAAATCATATACTAAAATAAAGTTTTGTATATCTCTAATATAAAGCTAAGCCTTATCATTAAATTTTCTTCCAACTTATAATTTCGAAGTTCAACTATTCTCTTAACTGAAGTGCTAATTATTCATTACATAGTGTAGAGTTACCATTGAAACAAACATATATGAGTTTGCCAATTCCGTGTTGTGCCCTACTAAGCCTGCCCAAAAAAGAAAAGTAAACAAATACTAATCTTTTGGAGAGGTAAACTGGAATGCCTACTTTTTGTCAAAAATTTTGGTGAGGTTAGCAAGAAATGAAAGAGATGAAAAATCACTAGTTCCAAACCAAAAGAGTGTGTATACTTTCTTGCAAAATATAACAGTGACTTGTTAACCAAGTGAAGAGTAAATATTAACAAGTAAGTAGTGTATAAGAACTACTTCTAAACAACAAGTGCTCTCTGTTACTGCAGTAAGTAATAAACTCTAAACCTGTTAGCAAGTAGTGTATAAGAACTATCTTTAAATAACAGATGCTGAGATTTTCTAACTTATCTTACTTATTATTTTTTCAACTAGTTATAATATATTTATTAAAAAAAGTTTTAGAAAATTTGAAAAAAATAATTATCAGAAGTGTAGTATAATTATTA